CGCGCGGGGCTGGCACGGCAGGGGAAGATGGCGGCCGTCGGCGGGGGCGGCGCCGCGGTGTCGGTGTTGGCGCCCAGCGGGCGGCGGGTCACGGTGCGGGTGGGGCCCGGCACGGTCCTGCTCCAGGTGGGTCCGCGGCGGGGAGGGGGCCGAGGGGAAGGCGGAGGCAGGGCCGCAGGCCAGCCGTGACGCCTCTCTTCTTTCCGCAGGTCCTCGAGGAGGTCTGCAGGAAGCAGGGTGGCAGCCCTGGCGAGTACGGCCTGAAGTGAGTGTGGCCGCGGGGCCGGGCCCGGCTGCCTGCCGCTGTGGGAGAGGTCCCGCCTGCCGCCGCGCTCCGCGCCGGGCCTGGCGCTGCCGAGCCCGCGGCGCGGCCGGGGCCCGGCGGGATCCGCGGCGGGCGGGGGAAGTGCGAGGGGCCGGGCACGCACTGAGCTCTGTTCAGGTCGGTTCGCCCCGGTTTCCCTGTGCCGCATTCCTTTCGGTGCTGGGGCGGACGGCGAGGCCCCGTGTCGCTGCCACGGGACACCCACGCGTGCACCTCCAGGCCACAGCGCAGCAACGCCCGTCTCCTCTCTTACCTGGGGGTTTGACCCTGTGCTTTTGTGGTGTCTTAACTTCAAACTCGTTTGAGTAGCACTGAAAAAAAAAAAAGAGTACACTGGTATTTAACCAGGCTTGGTTATGTAGTTGGTTGCTGTTTGTTTCTTTAAAACCTTTAAAGGAAGAACATATATTTGGGTATCTTCTCTGCGACCTCTACAAACTGCAGCTGCTTTGGTGTGCAGAATAGCTTTTGTTGATGATGCTTTTATAGTTACCAATTGTTCATTATTGAATCATGTTCTATGGCTTCTAGTCAGCCTTCTGAGAATTCTCTTGCACAGTACCTGGACTTTGTATTGCTCATAGGCTCTGTTCTCCTTCAGGTTTCAGAGGAATGTGTTGGACCTGTCTTTGCAGTGGAGATTTGCTAGGCTGCCCAACAATGCCAAACTGGAGATGGTGCCAGTCTCCAGCAGAGCAGGAGCTGGAACCACGGTATGTTCGTTTACACAGCGTGACCCGGTTTGTCCAGTTACCAGTTGTGCTGATAGGATCCCATCAGATCTAATGACCAAGAGCACAGGCCAGCATGGCCAATGCCTCTGTGAGAGACCAGCTGAAGACTGGTTGCAGTGCTTTTGAAAATAGTAATTAAGTTGCTGAAAGTCTTTACTTAGAGTCTGCATGAGCATGGGGTACCAGCTGTGCTAGAGGAGAGTGGGATGGTGTGATGAGCTGAAAACTAGTGGTCATGGATAGAAGAAGAAGTTAAACACCAGTGCTGACTAATTCAGTTCCCTCTCCTAATTTCTGTTTCAGTTGCTGTTGTCCAGCTCTGGATTTTGACTAAATCTCAGATTCTTACAGAATCCTGTTTTGCTGCTTTCCCAGCATTGGTGTTCATGGTGTGTTTACACAGCTTTAGAGTCTTCAGTGGCATGTTCTGTATTCATCAGTGGCCAAATGTCCCTATTTGGTATTATTTGCAGAGGACTTTTGGATAGTGTTTTCTCTAGAAATTATGGCCACTTTTAGGAGTGTAAAAATCTTCTATACATATCCCTGTGGCCGTAGGCCTAGCTTTTCAAGCAATGCAGAGGCGTTACTGAGTGAACTTTTCATGTTGTAAAACTGATGTGTGGTCTTACTTAAGTAGCCTGGGAATGGAAATTTGTCTATCACTAAGTCATCTTGCTATTTGTTAACTTCCTCCATTTTGGTGCTGATATTTAATGTCTGTCAGCCAAGCAGTGTTAGTGGTGTTTGTTATGGGCTCTAGCTCTAGCTGAGAGAAACTGATAAATAAACTTTGTGGTGTGAGAAGGCTTTGGAGTCTCTGCTTTAGTTCACTGTGTAACATAGTTTTGGGGGTCCCTGATGTTCATACTTTCCTCTGTAAAACCTCCATTTTCTTTCTTTGGCACAAATGTCTTTTTCTGATTTTTTTCTGGGAGTAGAAAGACATTTGTGCTTGAAATAATGTCTTTACTTAAAAATTACCACAAACTAGTAGCATCTGCTTAAAATTTTCAGTGAAATGTTATGGTGGAATGGAGGTTGTCTTCCAGAGAAAAGTGTTTCTCTTGAAACTGTGTAGTGACGACCATCTGACATTTGCATCCAGTTTGGGAGTTACTGAAGGAAAACAATGATTTTATTTTTTCCCTCCTGAACTTATATTGCGAGAAAGGGCAAGAAGGACTGTTCACTGTTAGGAGAGGGGTTTTAGTGTGGAATTGTTACACTAGATCACAAAAGAGCTAATAGAAGTGTAAGTTGTTACTATTTAGTTGCAGTTTAACAGCACAGGATACAGAAGTGATGCTTCCCTGGGAGTGCTGGTTGCTGTGTCATGAAGGTGAGAAGGCGCAGCAAGTGTGCACATGAAGAGTGGAGTCTAAACAGAGTCCCTGCCCCACAAACTTGAGCAGATTTTACTTCAAGAATTTCACAGCGTAAGAAAAGACTTTGTACAGAACAATTGACTAAAAAGAATTCCCTCCCACAGGGAGTATGTGTTAAAAAATAGGGAATTCTGTAACAGCCAGGTACTGTGACTGGGATGTAGTGGCAGTGCAGATGCAGACTCAGTCATGCCAGCTGGCTGCAGTAATGTTGGGATGAATTTGATTCTGTGTCTTTTGTTACTGTATGTTCTATTAAGATTACGTGTGTGGAAATAGGTGTGCTTTCCTTTGTGATAGCAGTTACCCTAGAGACAGAATACATGTTTTGATAAATCATGAGTTTGTTCAGCAAATCTGATGTTCTAAAAATAGAAAGCTTTAGGATTTGCCTATGCATGTGGAAAACGTTGTTTCCTGTAAGAGAGTTCTTTAGTGAAAAATGGAACAAATTCCCTCTGTGATGGCAGGTGACTCAGGAGCAGCATCAGTACAGCTCTGGTGTTAAAGCTGTCAGCCTCTTGTTTAAATGTTTGTAAACTTAGACGATAATTGGCACTGGTTGTTGGAATACTAAGTAGCACCTGGGCTTTTGAAGAGACTTTCCTAATTGAGTGAACAGGACTTTTGTGACATGTTTAGCTTTGAACTGTTGCCCAAAAACTGATGCAACTGGTAGTCTGAATTTCTGGCCTGGATTCTTACAGAATGGTGATGTCAGCTGTCATCGCTCTGCTGTAGCTGAGAATAATCTAAAGCTTGTCTCCTGTGTAGGAGAAACCGGGATATTGTGTTAGTGGTGGGGTGAAACGACATTGTACTGTCTGCTCATTATTGATGATGCTGCTGTTTCCTTTATGTAGAAACATTCCTGTCTCCAGCAGATCAGCATTTGCAGTCCTGTGAGGACTGCTGGGAGCCAAGGCAGATGACAGTGAATTCCTGGAGCATGTGATATCTCCTTCCCACCTCTCTGTAGCTCCTCCCCTTGTGCTTGCACACACACCTTGCACTCTGAGAGACTGCACTGAGAGTATTGGTAGGGACACATGAAAACACAGAATGAAAGAAAGTGGCTTTGGCTATCTTGGGCTAATGTCCTCTCAGGCTTTGGAATAAGGCAAGATTTGTGGACTTCTTAAAACTAAAGCTGACTGGAGAAACCAGGTTTTATCTAGTGGCTACAGGACTTGGTGTGATTTTTCTTTAGACAGGTGAGCTAATTGGGAAAACTTAAGAGTTAGACATTCTGGAAAAGGCTGAATATTCTCTAAAAGGTTAAGATAACACCTAAAGTGATCTGCAGAATATTATCTAGAGAATAGATAATTCTCTATTTCTTGGTTAGCTGCTAAACTTTTCCCTTGGGACACTCCGGAGTTCGAAGTTCTTCAGGACTGATCCCAGCATGTGTTCAACTGACCCCGTCATGTGTTCACTTTAGAAATGTCTTGGGGTTTTTTTTGGCTTTTTTTTTTTTAATTTTTTTTTTTTGTGACGGAGAGGTAGGGAAGCAATTCTCTAAAGACAGTGTGGTGCTTTATAATGTATGTGGATGTTGGCATTCCAGGTTGGAAACGACTTGTTAAATTTGGCAGCTAGCTGGCTCTTGCCTTTTTCTGCAGGTGTCCAGGAACTCAATAATTTAATGACCAGAATTATTGTTGAGATTTTTTTGTTGCTTATCTCTTAAGTTGTGTATCAAAATGTGGTGGTTAGGAAACATTAGGGAGTTGCAAGTTACAAACATTTCTTTGGACTGCTAACGGTTGTTTAGGTCTTCAGTAAAGCAGGGATGGAGGGGACTGTGTTCATTGTTTCTGTGTGTGGATGTGCAAGTGAACTGTTTTGTCTCAGGGAAGTTGTTCTGCAAAATGATGCTGAAGTATACAGAGCTCTGTTTTGGTGTTTTAGATGGTGCAGCTGTATCAATCATGTCTGGGTTGTTGGAATTTGTTCTATGTAGCTGTGAAGACCCTTACTGTAAAGTTTCATCTGGTATAAAACAGAACACCTCCACTGCTCACGATGGTACATGATTTGGGATGTTTGCACTGGCTTTTCTCTGAATATTCCAGTTCAAGGTACAGGGAGAGGGGTCCATGAAAGATAGTTAGTATTCCAGGATGGCCTCCCCCATGCTCAGGAGCCATTCATCCCAACAAACAGGAATTCAGGCCAGAATGCTTGCACCGATGAACAAGAAGCAAATATTTTAAAAAGTTGTGAATAAAAATAAGTTTTCATTCAATTTTCAGATGAGTTCTTTGTGGTGTTCTATAGGTTCGGATAGCATTACAGCTGGACGATGGCTCCCGTTTGCAAGACACCTTCCTCTGTCAGCAGACCTTGTGGGAACTTCTCAACCATTTTGCAAAGATCAGGTGAGCAATGCAGTGAGGAAAATGCACTTGTTTGGATGGACCTCTGCATGCCACTAATTACATGTTATGGTGACCCAACTAAATCCTTCAAATTTGTATAATTTGCATTTATTTGATTGTGATTTTTCCTTTATAACAGAGATGTTTGCATTTTCCTTGCTCTTGCAGATTTGACAATCCATATTTTTATTATTTATTTATTTATTATTTATCAGGAGTGGAGTACCAATCCTGATTCAGGTCTTAAACTGGTAACAAACTGTTAAAGCTGTGAAGATACTGGGATATGTTGCACCACCTTCCTTTTACACAAACCTATTTGAAGTCAAGTTACTGCTAGAGGTGTGTGTGTCAAGCCTGGATGATCTCGATCCCCAGTATTTCTGTGCTGCAGTTCCCTGTAGTGCAGGGGGTTCTTTTCTATGGGTTGTTGTTGCTTTTGAGGCTGGCTGTTGTGCAAGTTCTTCAAGGAAATCAGGAGCTCTCAGCAGGTTAATGTGGCATCTTCAAAAGACTGATTAGATCCTGTTTAAATGGAAGAATTTCTGGTTCTATATTTATTGAACCTGTACATGGGTTAGAAATCTTATTATTTTATAATAGAAGTCTTATTATTTTAGTCTGCATTGAGTGCTACCTTTTGTCTTTAGTTTTGGTTTTAGAAAGCTGTATTGTTTTGGAATGCCAAGCTAATAAACTTTTCTTGGAGACACTTCTTTTCTATTTTTCATGGTTTGGAAGAGAAAGCCTTGAACTGTGACAGCCATTCTGTTTTTAATCATGGACCGTGTCTACAATGTGACATTTATTCATAAGTAAAGGAACAGTATTCATGTAAATGCTAGAGATAAAAGAATTATTTTTCTTTTAATTGAGGAAAGAGGTAGGACAAAAACCACATGTATAATTTTCCTGAGTGTTTTAAGTCCCCCCTTGTCCCTTACTATACCCTTTGTGCCCTCCGTGAGGAGAGGAATGCCTGTTGCAGTTTGGGGACTACTAGACTGGTGGAAGGTGGTAATTATTGACAATGACAAATAACCTTTGTGTAGCTTCCTCTCATATTAGTTGATTGTTTCTTTGATTTAAATTTTGAGCTTTTCATATAATTTTGCTCTTTTGAAGTGGTTTTATTGGTTACAGATCATTGTAATACTACTTGTTAATATACATGTTGCTCTTAAGCTTCTAACTGCTGCAGTATGCTAAGCATTCATAACTTCAGTTCAGAACACAGCTGCTTATTTCTGGCCTCTGGAAGCTGAGTTCAAATGTTTGGATGGACTTTGCAATCTTGGTTAAGTTCAACAAGCAGCAAAGGTGCTGTGTGTGGTTTAGTCACAGAACAAGCTGGATCTACAGCCATCTGTGTGGTTTTAATGGGCTGAGTTGCTGTTCAATGTGTTTTGATTCAGTTGACTAACTAGTCAGCTAGTTGTTGATGTTTGTTGAATGCTTCCTTGGACTTTCCAGCTGGAGACATTTCCTGGAATGCTCGGCCGCGCTAAGTGCGTGAGGGGAAGTATTCTAAATCCACTGGAATTTCCCCTGGGTTTCCAGCATCCATCTTGGCTAATTGGGTCTGAAGAAGGTCTGGAAGCTATTGTAGGGCTGCTCCTCCTCTCAGCGTGCGGCAGTCCTTGCACAAGATGTTTACAGGCCCTGTCAGATCACTACATGAAGGAATCTAATCTGCTTGCCGTTCTCCTTCTGAAGAGCAGCACATCAAAGAGAGGACAGTATGTTTGATGTGTGTGCTTGCCTCAGTGGGTGCATGTAATGGATTAGCAGCAGCTGGAGGAGGAGCCTGCAGCTTCCAAGAGTTAGGCAAAAATAAGTCTCTGGGGATCTTTGTGTGGAGTCTGTGCTGCAGAGGCTGGTTGAGGGCACAGTGTTGTCTGCCCTATGAGCAAGAAGCCTGTGTTTCTGTCTCCCACTCTTGCTTGCTTGCAGCTTCAGCAGCTCTGTGGGCTGTTCTCCATAGAGCAGCCGCAATTCCGAGACTCAGAGACATCTTTGATAGTCATTATGATTCTTCACTGCTTCTTCTTCTACACTGGTCATTAATTTGGTTCAGATATTTTCCACACATTTTTAGAAGACTCTTCAAAGAATTGCTTGAAGTGGAAAGCGGTTTTTGGGAAAGTGAATTAAACTAGTTTCTATAAGTCAAACTGGCTTCTTCTCTATTGGTCTTTGGTGAGAACATGTTCCACTGTACCTAAGACTTTTTTTCTCTTAAATGGTTGTCATCCACCTTTCCTGACAGACAGACAGCAGCTTGAGGTTCAAGCTTGTATTCCCTGGCCTGATCTGTCTGCCTTTTCTGTGATTCTGTACTGTTTCTCTGTGTCTCATTAGTCCTTTGTCTTTTGTTACCTTTATTGAGGATTCCTCAAGGGCTACAGCTAATTTTAATTGGAAGCAAAACCTGTTGAAAATAAGGTGGGGATGAGTATCTTTCCTGGATTGTCTGGAGAAGTCTGAGTGCAGTAACCTGCTATGGTATGCTAAAGGCACTCTCTGGTAATCTTTTTTTCCAATTCTCCAACTGAGACAAGATTTTTTTTTTTCTGCCTTTCATCATCAGGCATTGGCCTTGGGAATTTCCTCAGGTACTGCTGCCAGAGGAGCGAGGGAGGTTGGAGCCTGAGTATGATATCAAAACACAATGTTCCTTTGTATGAGCAACTTAATCTTTTGATTTCTGCAGAGCATTGTATAGTGCATTTTGTTCCTGAAAGAGAATAACTAATTGCAGAATCACAAAAAGAGGCAAACCTATTCTAGTTTTGGTTTGGTTGTTCACCTTGAAGTTAACTGTGTTTCATAATCTAAAACTTGAATATTGTATTTTGCTATGGTGTGTCTGTTGCTTTCTGCGCAATGGGATTTGTTGTGGTGGCTGGGAGAAGTGTTCTGAAATAGTGGTCTTACAGTCTTGGTACTATAAACTCCCTGGAATATGTTGCAACTGGTCTGGAAGTAGTTCTCAGCTGCTGACTTTCCTAAAATAGGCCTGACCCTCAGGACTGGTTTTATAGTTTGCTCTATTTGGATTTGCTCTACCTCTGGGTTTCTTTGTGACTTGCCTTGTCCCATACCACTGTGCTGTTGCAAGCTTTTAACCATTTGATCAAGATGGCATATAGTCTGCTACAATTAAACCAGACATCTCAGTTGTGGTTTGTGCTTAACAGATTTAGTTCCTCACATCCTTCAACTGGAAACCATTGATGTTCTCTGGCTCTTGAGAATTACTCAAAGATTGAGTATCATAATTTTCCAGTGGCTCTCTCAATCCTGAGTGGCTTCTGGTTTCACTTACATGTCATTGTAGCTGAGTTTTGAGTCTCAGTTTAAATGTCCTTGATGAATTTTCATGGAATTTAATGGCTATTTCCCTTCATTTTCCACTTCATAGGCTGATTGACTCCCTCTCAGTTGAGTTTCTTTTGTCACTTCATGCTGGGCTAAGTTTGGTTATGCAGACTCTGGTCTTCTGCTGGGCAAGCAGGTTGTTAAAGTGCAAAAGGTTATTTCCTTGTTACCATAAGAGAAAGCGTTGCCTGTGTCCTAAGGTGGTCTTTCGGAAACCTGCTGGCTGGGTATATTGCATGTCTGCTTGTGGAGTTCCAGGCTTTTCTAAGAGCAGCAGTCAGCATGGCCACAGCACAGACAGACCGTGTGATGGACACTCACTTCAGAACCACACGCTTGATTGACTGAGTGGATTCTGACTGTTACTCAAGGGATCCTTTGCCTACATGTGGGAACTCAACACATCACTCTGGATGTCCAAAGTCACCGAAAGAACCCTTGGGGGGCTCAGAGACCTTGGAATGTTGCCAAAAGTATCTGATAGCTTAACTTTGATCTATCTAGAGATGAAACATCTGTGTGAGGAGATGAGAAGTTTTAGAGTGTAAATAGTGTATTTACAAGATGAAGTATAAATTTTAGAATTTAGGTACAGGAGGGTCATAAAGACAAGATGGAAGATTCAGAGCATAGTCCTAAGTTCTTCTTTCTTCTTCATGTCTTCCATTTTCTGTAGTGATGTTGGCACTTTTAGATTAGTTCATGGTGAAAGTACTCTTGTCAATAAGGGTGAAAAGTATTGGGAATTAAAAGTAAATATAATAGATGTAATTTTCACTATAAAAGACACAACCGTCCCATGGGCGGGAGAGAGTGCACTTGACTGTCCTGCTGAGCAGACCTCGGCTGGGCAGAGAGAAAATATTGTAGGTAAGAATTAATAAACAAGATTGAAGACCAAAAAACTTGAGAGTCCAGACTCGTCCTTTGAAGCGTGGCCACCCAAAACCACTTTTCCCATATAGGGGCTAAGACAAATAACAACAAACCCCAATACCTACATATCTGCTTGACATAACTTTGTTTCTGGTAATATTGCATCTCAAAATATAAGTGTTTAAATTATATGATGTTGAAGGCACAATGTTTTAAGTGGTGGAACTCTGTTCATTAAACTTCTTTTCAGGAAAAGTCAAAATGCAGCAGGCATTGATCACTGACATCATGTTCTTAGAGTTAACCGTGTTCAATGCCCCAGTTAAGATGCTTACAAATTTAGGCACTAGGTAGGGAATGTACCCTGAATGTACAAGTATAGATATAAGTGATGTACTAGATAGAGGGAGCCTGAGTTTCTGCTTAAATTTTGGGACACTCGAATGCCAAATTGATCAATGTTTTGCAGCTGCATTTAGGAGAAAGTGCAGTTATTACTGCTACTGGGGAATTTCAAACAATGCAGGGTAATGTGAAGTAGAAATATCTTTCCAAAACTTCCACTTTTCACTGAAAACTACTGGAATTTTTTTCAGGCATAAAATGGCAGGCTGACCTTGGGAACTGCCTCCAGAGGTCTCAGGAGGTGAGCAAGCATGTGTCATGTTCCTGGGCTGCCAGGTCGATTTCCTTATCTGCTTTGCAGAGAGGTGGTTTCTCTTCAAGTCATGGGTGATGGTTTCCTGGTGGGGTGAGTGGAAAGCCATTCCCTCCACCTACCCCCGAGACTGGACTGTAGAGAGCAGTAAGATCAAGGGAGTTTACCATGAGGAAGAGTTCCAGTTGTTCTGTGTTTCATGATAAACTGTTGCTGTGCAGATGGGATATACAGCTCTTTACCATGGGATATCCTGGTGCAACTGTGAGCACAGGAAGTTTGAGACGGAGTGTGCGAAGAAGAGCTACTGGGGTCTATGGAGAAGGATAAATCTTGTCAGATCTCATTGTGTAGATGGGGAATATTGTGGGCAATGTTCTTACCTTTTGTAGTTTCCCAGGCTGAGTTAGGCTGAAATGTCTAAATCTGAAACTTCTGGAAAAATGCTTTTGAGAAGTCAGACAGGTATATCTTTCCAAACCAGCATTGTCTTAGAGTGGGCACCTGGTCACCTCTTAGATTGGCATGCTTGGGATGTGAGGCAAAGTATTCTCCTCAGTCTCACGTTTTACCACATTCTTGTCTGATTTCAGTTTGAGTTGCACTTTCCTGAAAGTGGAAACAAATGTGACAGAGCTTCTTCTGGTGTTGAATCTAATGCTCTCACTGATTCCAGTGCTTCAGCATAATGTACTGGTTAATTCTGTAAGCCTTTTTACTTTTCTGTAGACATCTGAGGTGTTCTTGGTGAAAGTGTAATTCCTTTTTTTTCCCCCCTTTTGAAATCACATCATTTTGGCTGGATGAGAACTGAGAATTGCTGTGATAGGCTGTGATTGTCTTTTGCTTGTCTGTCTTCTGTATTTGACCAAGTAACATATAATAAAGCTTCTCTTTTACTGGAATGCCTCAGAATTGCTTATCTAGAGTAAAATGGAAAGAGTAACATCTTTCTTGTTTTTCCCCATCTCGATGCTAAGGGTCCCTCACTTCTGACTTCCTCTGGAGATGGGCTATTGGGAGTTTGCATCATTGCTCATACGTGTCCTACATCACTAAAATGCTTAAATATGGCTTGATTTTCACTTTGTCTACAGTGACAGCCTTTCATTTGGCTTTACTTGTTTCATGGTCTCCAGAATCTGAAAGTTCATGCTCTTTGTTTTTGTTTGCTTACTTTCTCTTTTCTTTTTAAAAAATGATACTAAGGCAAGTTTCTTGTCCTTAGTGGATCTTCTTTAGAGAGGTATTTAGTTTCGTTTGCTGCTGTGCATATGTGAAAAGAAATGGACCTCTCCCCGGTGAATTCAGTCTAAGCTGTAGTGAAGTTTTTAACTTGAATTAAAAAGAGCAAATATAACTAAATAATGTTTCAGATAGGGTACTGAGGGACATGAACAGTGATAAGTTTAAATTTATCTAGTATGATCAGCTAATTTCAGAATTTACTTTAATTATTTCTTTGTTTTTAAACTTTTAGGCTGTGTTTAAGGAAAAGTGAATGCATTGAAGCAGATTGTTTACGTAATGTCTAATAGCGATCCTGTGAACTGTGTAGTGGTTATTGCTGGAGAAAAAAGGAGGACAGTGTTTCCTGCTGATTTCACTCTGTACTGGTTTTGGAGGGGGTAGGCTGTTGTGCAGATGCTGCAGTGTTTTGCTCTTTCTTGCAGGGAGTTGATGGAACAGGATGGTGAATTGTCTCCAGTCTGTATTTACATGCGGGATGAGGTAAGGCAGTAAAGGCCTCTCAACTGTCTCATGTCCCTAAAACATAAGAAAACTTAGTTCTGCTTTCCAACCTGGAAAGTGTTTCTTTTGAACTTTCCTGAGAAGGGAAGTAGAAAAATGTTGGTCTTTTCAACGCATGACGTGTCTGTATGGAAAAAAGCTCTCTTGGAACGTAACCTTGTGCTGTTGAGACCTCTGAGCCCATAAAATGAGCTCAGTGACCTATTTGTGTTTTTCTTTCCAGCTTCTTTTAAAGCTTGAGTCAAAACAGTGTTTTTGTGTTAATAAATATTTGCTTTTCTGTGTTTTGATCTTTTGCTATTAATATTTTGTTAAATATTTTGTGTGTGGATATTACAGAATTTGCTCTCCCTAGCTGTCCCCTTTACTTCCCACTGACCTCTGTGGACAGATCGTCTTTATTCTGGAATAGGTCATTGCAGACACATAGGAGGTGTATGTAAGGAAATCGTCTGTCTTGCAGCGCTCAGATGTTGCCTGTCGTTTAACTTCTGACAAAAGTAGCTTTGCTGTAGTTGGATCCCGCTTGGATGTGTGTATGGGATGAAAATATATGTAGGTCACCTTCCATTGAGGTGATTTAATAAGGTGTGAATTTGGTGAAACAGCACAAGTTGATACAGATGGATTCAGGTCTGATTTTCAACTGCAGGAATGTGTTTTCACCTGTTTCTTGTGTTGTGTGGTGTTTCTTTGGATACGGCTTTCTTTCTGTAAACAGCTTTACATGCTTTCCTGGGGACTCAGAGGCCATAATTACTCTCCTCTGGTTTTGTTGTAGATATCAGGAAAAGATGCCCTGGAGAAGACAACACTGAAATCGCTTGGCCTGATTGGAGGCAATGCCATTATCAGGTTGGGAGAAGCAAAGTTTGCCTTCTTTATTTTCTCTTTCCACTTTGATGGTGAATTTATTTTGCTTCAAGTACCAAAAGAAAGGCAAAAAAAATAAAAGTCCCAAGAGAAGATGCCAAATTAAAACATTGCAGCACTCAGAAATTATTGCATTTGCCTGTTTATCTCAAACTGCTGCCCAGATGTGCTTTGCACAGCAGCAGATGCTGGCACTGGCCAGTCATGTGCAGATTAAAAGAGCTTGTTTGTTTCTTTTTTTTTTTCTTTTTTTTTTCTTTTTTTTTCTTCCTCCTTTGAGTGGAACAGACAATTCAAAGTTAAAAGTCTCTCAGAGAGGGTAATCAGCTACCACTACATTCTTCCTTGCTCTGGATCTCAGACAACTCCCAGCTGCTGCAGACCCTGATAGCTGTTGGGGGGTGAGTTAGGGACAGGGGCAACCTTTCTGTGATCTCCTGACCAGCTCTTTGTGGTATGTATATGCAGAAGGCAGGAGTGATTAGAAGCTATGCTTGATAACTGACTGCTGTTTTTCTCTAGAAGGCAGTTTTCTTCTAGATAAGTGGGTCCCTGTTCTGTTGTTGTGCACAACCCCCTGACCCTCTACCCCACACTGTACAGCCACTGGAGCTTGTTCTCTGTAAGCATCTGGAAGAAGAAAGTTGTTAAATCAGGGTGTATTTGAGTCAGCTGCTGTCTTTGTGTCATGGGCACATTGAGAACAGGGAGGACAGTACTCCTAGGATTATGATTTTATTTTTATTCCTTTCGTGTCTTCTTCAAGAGTTGTCATGAAGAAATGCAGTTCGTCTGGTGGGGAGGAAGTTCTGGGTGCCATGGTGCCTTGCAATGAGCCAACAGTGAGGCGAGGCTCTATGGAAGAAGCTGTGGATGTGCCTCTACCTCAAGCAAACACATTTCCAAAGGACTTGGAGCACAGGGATGTGGCTATGTCTTTAAACAGCTGCACACACAAGCAAGACTCGATTAAAGATTCTCATACTAGCTTGGAGGAACTGTGGCATTCCCCAGAGCCTGAGCCTACTCCATTTGTCCCTTTTTCTGGAGATGGAGAGCATCTGGGGGACTCTCCTGTAGCTGTACCACGTTCAAAGCTGCCAACAACTTTTTCCAGCCCTGGAGGTCCTTCTAAGCCAAAGAAGTCTAAGAACAGCCAAGAACTGCAAAAGGAGCAAGAACAGGTAAGGGAAAATATATTTGCAGTTTTGGCAGCAAGGGCTTTTTTTTAATCCTGCCTTGTCTGAGGCTGCAGTCCCATGAGGAAAAAGATGTTTCCAGATTTAGGACTTTTTCCCCTGTGTCACAGGATTAGGTGCCTTAATGACATACAGTTCTGCCTGAGTTCAGAAAGGAAGTAGGAAGGATTTGATTTTAAGAATTTGCTGTCCAGAGGTAGACAATAGATAACACAGCTGCAGTAAATCACAGTCCAGAAGATCCTATACCTCAGTGCCACAGATTTCATGAACAAATGCCCACTTTGTTACCTGACCCTGTGACTTAATTTTCTTAGTATTGCAGATAAAGCAGAAACCTTCCATCCTTCTCCTTCTGTATTCCTGCTTGCTTATAGAAGTGTTTTTATCTTAATCTAAAATGTCTTGATTCTGAAGTAGTCTGCCTGTTTCTAACTATCTCCCAGAAAGACAGATTGCACATCTCACCATTGTTGGTGTCTCTGAAATAAAATTGTGTTTGTTAAAATTCAAAGTGCTTGAGCCCATGCTGAGATGCAAGAACTGATGGCTGAAAAGTGCTGTGATGCCATCCCAGAGTCACCTGGGAATGACACTGAAGTGTGTTTTCTGTAGGGCAGCTGTATGGAATGGAATACCTTCAGGAGGGCTGGGTATGTCTGGCAAGTAGTGTAGCATGAAGTACAGGAGCCATTTAATTAATAATTTACTCCTTGTTATTATGCACTGAGAGTTTCCCATTCTGGATTCTCAGTGAGCAGCTCTTTTCTTGCTCCTTTGGCTCATCACTGGGGCCAGCTTTCATGTTCAGAGATGCCCTTTGTTATTTCTGACTCTTTGGTACCTCCTAGGGTTGGAGGTTTGAATCTCTTCTGGGCTGATCCAGCCAGGATTGAACAATAGAAAGCTATAAGTAGAAAGAAAGGATGCCTGGGGAGCTTCAAAGGGAGCTTAGTCCAGGAGGAATTTAGCAAGACTGTGGATGCTTTCATGTTGATGTAGAGTCTCTACCTTAGTTGACTTCTTTGTGGTTGCAGCCTATTTTTGATGAGTTCTGAATTGTTTAGGAACAGAAGCCAGACCCTGGAAGGGCTCTGGAGCAGTTATGAACTGCACAAGTGGCAGAAAGAGGCCATGCCAACCTGCAGTGGTGAATATTTGAGTGTATTAGAAACATGTTTGGGTCTCTCTAATCAGTGTTATTTAACCTTTTGGAGCAGACCCTTATCATGGAGAATTAAACAGTTGGCTGGGGGATTTGTCCAGTCTCATGTGTTGCTTGCTTCAGTTGTGCTCTCGTCTTTGAGGGGTTTGGAAAGAAGGAGCTCCATTGTGTCTGGGAAGGGAGAAGTGCAAGGGTTTCTGGTGGTATCCCTCACCAGTTTTGTTGCCCACACTTCTCTGTGCACTGGTGGGAGAGGCAGAACTCCATCATGTCATTGACTTCACAGCCTGATGTGTAGCTGTGCTTTTGGGCATGGCTGGGTGGTGGTGCCTGAAGGACTCACATGAACCGATGTCTTTCTCAGAATCACAGTCCAGCTCAAACCACTTCTGGAGCCAGCCGCCCTTCCACTCTGAGCAGCTTGGGAAGCAGCTGCAGATTCTGTTGGGGGAGTTGTGTCCTTGTGTTAAACAGCATGTGATTTTGACGGCTGCTTTCAAGCCCTTTGATCTCTGGTACTTTTGCTGCTGATTGATTACATTTTGTTCCCTCCTCCACTCCTGCCATCTTTCACTCTCCTCCCAGCGGCAACAGCCAAGCAGAGCTAGCCACATGGCATCTGCTTTTTGTCCTTTTTCAGTCCCGAGGAAAAAAAAACCAAAACAAAACAAATTATTTTTAAACATCAAAGGTCCATTTTTGTAAAAGAATCTTCCCATTAATGCTTTGCCTGTGTGTGGTTTTTGAAGCTGAAGAGAGGCTGGATAAAATCTGTGCCGGCATCCCTTCGTTTCTTGGGCTAAAGATGGTTTACAGACAGCTGCAAGCTGACTTTGATGTCAGAATGTTAATTATTAGAAGGTAACTTTAAACCAGATTCACCATGAGATTAGAGCTCCCAGAGGTGGTGGAGAGGAAGTGGGTCTCTGGGGAGAGCTTGCTGCTGTGGAAAGCACAATGACCCCTATTTCACTTAAATCATAAGAGTTTTCCTCAGCTTACCTGCTTCCCTGGGACCAGGATGGTGACCATGGAGTGAACTGCATTCTTCCTGACCCCTGGCTTTGTCACATAGGCTGCACTTACGTAGATGCTGCTGTGAACATTGGTGAAAGGTGCCTGACATTTCACCTTTGAGAAGAATAGACTTTGAAGCAGGAAGATGCCAAACCTTAGCACAGCATCTGTGTCTCCTGGAAGAAGTAGGACAGCAAAATGCACAGCTTGTTTTCCTCCACTTGACATGATGGAAAGTAGAACATCCATGTGGTGGCCATTTATTGTTACAGGAGATGGTTATCTTTCATCACAGTTGCAGAAAACACTGTGTGTGCTGGGAAGTGGGTTAGTATTCCTGGAGTCTCTTTTGTAATCATTATGGGAAGTTAATTTTTGGATTCTGTCTGTGCTTTAGGATTGTTGGAGCCCATAGCAAGGAAGAGGAGGGAACACTTAGGACTGGAATATATGTCTGCCGTGTGCCATCTTGTGATTCCCAGTGCCTTGGCAGATGCCATTAACTGTCACCATAATTTGGATGGGGGGTGGACCTTTCCCAGTGGAATCCCACTGCTATTGGGATTAACTAAAGTCCTTGTTAGAGCCAGTACTAAATGGTAACTGTAGGATTTGCTAGTGCAGACTTTGGGGTTCTCTCCTTCATACCCTAGCACCCTTCACAGCACACCATAGGATATGCCTCCTCAGTCTTTTGGGTTTGGGCTTTTTCAGAAGACATCTGTTTTCACTACATGCTTAGAGTGCAATGAAACTCAAGCCTGTTTGGGGACATTAAAATACACTGTGTTCTTGGGGAGGCCTGATTGATTCTCCTCTGGCCTCTGACATAGATGTGCCCTCACTGGAGCATCAGTGGGCAGTGTTTGGAACAGGGTGCAGCCTGCTTCCCAGCAGATAGTCCTGGGCACTTGGGTCCTTCCTGCAGCACTGGCACCCCCACCCCACCCCGGGCCCGGGGAAAGCTGCAGCCAGGCTCCTGCACCCGCTCGTTAGGGCTGACCCTGCTCAACTTTCTAAAAGTAGCCAAAGGTCCCACCCACACAACCTCCATCTTTTAATTTCTCAAATTACCCTTTAGTGCCCACAAGTAGAGTGAACATTGCCTTGTAATTTGTGTTGTGCTTTAGACAATTGAGAAGACTTCTGTTTCCAAGTTGGCCAGTGCCTGGGGGAGGGGTGAGTGGATAGAAGGAGGACATCTGGGTGTTAATTAGGATTGGAAAGAGTGTATGAGAGATGAGGGGAGAAGAAATGGGCAGCGGGTTCATTCACAGAGCCTGTGGCATTGTTAAGCTGGCAGCTGACTAGGAAGAAATGCTGGGTTAACTACCAGAATTTTTGTTCCTGTGAGCCTCTTCAGCCATGAGCTGTGTCCTCCCTGCATCTCCTGTAGCCTTCAGTATGCTGTTCTCTATGTTTGCAAGCTTTGTTCCTTTAAACAGTTTTGGAATTTAAAAAGTTTGACATCCAGAAGTGTAACTGCCTCTCGATTGCTTGACTCTGGTCATGGTTTGTATTGACAGAGGCACAGCTGCTGCTTTGGGCAAAAGAGAGAGTAGCCAGCACATAACCTTTGCTGGGGAGGGATCCATTAAAGTCCTGCTGCCTGCAGGGATGGCAAATGCTCTTGATCTCAGTGGCTGGGGCTCCAGTTGGGGATTTTAGGGGATTGTGGGTATTGCCTTGTTTTGTTTTGGTTTTTTCATAACTGCAACTACAGTTGTAGGCTAGGCCCAGTTGCATTGGAAGGTTTGCCATCATGACACCCGGCTCTGGAGGCTGGGGGAGCAGGCAGCCAGGCTCTCTGTGCCCTGCTGGGCAGGTGAGAGGGGTGTCTGTGTGTAGCTTGGAGTGCCTGCTCTCAGCTCTGCTGTGTAGGGAAGGTTGCCAGTAAATGTATTAGGTACCTTTATTGCAGCTGATGCCTAGAGAACTGCTCTCCTGCATCTGTGTGCCCTGGTTGCAGCCAAGGCTGATCTCTCACTTACTTTGTAAGTGCAAAACAAAAGAGTTTCACTTTTTAAGGGATCTTTCTGCACACCAGAAACCAGGGTACAATTTTGAAAGGTGTGGAATGAAACCCTGCAGTGGTTTAGTTCAGAGAGCTGAGCAGGTCAAAAGACAGTTTGCAAATACTCTTTTTTTTTCAGGAACCTTATAAGATAAGCAGAGCAATGCATTTAAAACTAATTGGAGCTCATTTTTTTTCTGTAGCTTGTGGAACGTGAGCCCCTTATCTGTCACCTAGACCTACTGGAACAACTTCCTGATGGCCCAGAAGAGCTTCCTGATGAATTTTTTGAAGTCACAGTGGATGATGTACGGAAACGTTTGGCACAGCTGCAGAATGAGAGGCAAGTTCCCTTTCTGCTGTGAGTGAGATTTGCTGTGTCCTGTTGTTGAGCAGAGTGACAGTGATCAACAGAGCTTGTTTTATTTTTGGCTAGTAAGAAACACCTTATCTTCTAAGTAACACAATTAACCTTGTATTAGAACTCATCAGAAAGACCAACTTAGCCACAAGCCAGGACCTGAGAACGTTTGGAAGAGGCACACACACACACACAGAAATTATAGGAAGCTGACTAACAATGTATTGCACTGTTCAGGTAGCTTGCTTTCAAATATTCATGATTTTACTTCATCAAACTTCAGTTCAGTAAAAACTCAGATGAAGATCAACTGTCCTTCCTGTCACAGCACCATTTTGCTGTCTCTATGTTCCTTGAAGAAATTAATTTCATTAATGTATTTAGTTTCAAGTAAGTCAAAGCATTTCTTTAAACATTGTAATAACTCTCCAAGACTGAAACAGTCTCCTTTATGCTATAGCCAAGTCCAAGTTGAACTTTTTACTTAGAGTTGATTTTTTTTCCCACAGGCCACAGTACACAGAATATGGCCTGAAAATTGCTCTGCTGTTTGTGGGTCTGGTGTATTTAGTGGTAGAAATGTAGAGACATTTGGTTGGGGATTACTGGAATACAGGCCCCCCAAAAAGACCCAATTTCCAAATTTGCTGATGCTTTCCCCTTACAGCCAGGGATAAAAATAAAGGCAAGTTACACATCAGTTACTCAGATACAAAGAAAATGTACTAAAGCTGAGCACAGGATCTGTTTGGTCTAAGCTAGTTTCTTTGCTTATGGAAAAATATATAATTATTCTTTTACATTTATTGTTTCCTCTTAAATACAAGTAGACTTTTATTTTGTACCCACTATTTATTTTAATAGCCATCTGCAATGGCAGTTCTTGAATGATCTGAAACTTCTTTTTTTTTTCCCTGTTCCTAATTAATACTTATTAATTTCTTGTGCTGGCATTTTTTTCAAGTTTAGTAGCTCTTCTGCCCCTGTGGAGTAATCATGTCCAACCCTAGTCTCTGCTTTATTGGATTAATAAGTCCACCTCTTCTTGAGTAGTCTAAGCAGACTTTCCTGTCCTCTTAGGATCTTCTCTTGTGTCTGCTGTCATGAACTTGTACAATAAACATAATTTTATGTTGTATTGTTGTTGATGCTCAGTAGTTTCAGGAGATAGGGAAAATGCTGTGAGGGATGCATCAAACAGTTGAGCTGTTCTCATCAGGCCTGCTTGGGTCTTCTGCTAGCTTAATAAAGTGAAAAAACATTGTAAAATTACAGACAATTTGCCTTCTTCCCATGTCTGTAGGAAACTCCTGGAGGAAGCTCCACTGATGACAAAGTCCTTGAAGGAGTCCCAGCTGAAGGAGAAGTTGGAGCGTTATCCCAAGGTAGTATTTGTTTTCCAGTCCCTGTGGCTAGTCCAAGCTTGGAGAGTCAGTGCCTTGGGATTCAGTTGTGATCAACAAGCCCTTAAGCTACTTAAAGGGAGATTTTTCAAATTCCCATCCCTATTAATTGTTTCTGGGAATTGCACAGCAGTTATGCCATATGAAAACAGCTGTACTGTAATATGGTAATATGTCATTGCTTGAGTGACAGACAGTGGAGGTGCTTCTGTTCTGTTCCAGATGTCTCAAAACCTTTCTGTTGTGCCCACATCTGTATGATTGAGCCTTCCTGCTTGCTCTCTGTAGACATTTTGTTAGAAACTCATTGAAAGTTAAATGATTCAATGTTACAAGTTGGTTTATTTTACTCTGTAACTCTGATCCTTGTGCAGTTTGCAAGTGAGGTGCTTTCTGACCAAGCTGTGGGTACGAAGGTCAGAGGTACGTCAGGAGGATTCCTGCTGTTGTGGACACATTGGGATGCCAGTAAACTGTCTGCACCTGTCCGTGAGGGTTTGTCTTCATTGGTAGTGCATCATTTAGCACAGGGAGCTCCTACTCTCTGAGCAAGTGCTGCTGCATTTTACATCAGAGTGCTTTGACAGATGAGCTCTTGTGCCCCCTCTGAGCAGCCCCTGTTTCCTGAGAAGCTGCACAGCACTGTTAGCCAGGTTGCTCTTCTATCCCTTTAAACACCTCAGATCTCCCCATAAAAGAAAACAACAAATAAACAGCTTGCAGATTCTAAGCCAAGGACAGGTGTTACAGAGCAGTGGTAAACCACTGTCCTGATGGGCTTTGTCTCTGCCTCAGGTGGTGGTGAGAGTTCGTTTTCCAGACCGCCATGTTCTGCAGGGCTTCTTCCATCCCACTGAGACGGGTAAGGCCAGTCCCCCTGCAGCCCGGGCAGCTGTAACGGCAGAGAGTGTGTCTGAACAGGTCACACTGTTGCCTGGCAAAGTCAAGCTGCTCTGAAAAAGCAGCAGAATGTAGTTACACTGTCATTGTAGGGCCCTGAATGGACTAAGAAGGACTTCAGGCTGGTTAAGTTAGCTAAAGGCTACTTGGTGGAGATGGCAAAATGCTTGTCCTTGTGTGGACAGGAAGCTGTCCCTCTTGCTATCCCCTTATTTGTGTCTAAGTGATGTGCTCTTGGGCGGCATTTGGAGACTACCTCTGTGTTAGTGTGTAAAATGTTTTTCACCCCCTTCCCCAATCCAAAACGTACCCCAAAAAGCAGGAAGGAGAAATAAAACAAAAACTTCAGCAACTCTATAAGAGAGGATGTACCTTTATGGCTCTGTCAGTTCACGAAAGGCAATCAGACCATACACCAAGTAGCTCTTTGTTATTACTGGAGATCCTCTTTTTCTCAGCTGTCAGCCATGGTTACCTGCACAAACTTTTTTGGTAATTTTGTGGGCATCCTTAGATTTTTCCAAGGGACTAGCACATCAAAGTGATTTGTTTTGTTTGTTTTTTCTACAAAAAATTTGTTATAGCAACTGTGTACTTTGGGGTAAAAGGCAATCTCCATACCTTCTAGGGGGCATTTCTGCTGTTACAAGTTAGTCTTCTTGCCTAGCATTTGAAGAACCGAATGTAATTTAGCAAACCTTTCTCTCCTTTTTCCGCAGTTGGCGTTTTGAGACACTTTGTAAGAAGCCATCTTGCTGATGCAGAGTTGCCATTTTACTTGTGTGAGTGCTGTTGGTAATATTTGGCCTTACTTTATAAAGCCTGTTTCTGGCTGTGGGGTGTTGATGCCTGAGGGATGACCTGGAAGGGAATGCCTTCCCTAAAACACAGCTTCACAGTGCAAAGAAGGTGTAACCTGCTCCCTTGGCCATGTGCTTGTGTCTAAGAAGCAGCCTCTGTGGGCATATGAATGTGTCGCCCCTCCAGAGAGCAGGGATGCCTGCCATACCTATATTTGATGTTCTGGTTGCTAGGTGGTCCTCTTTTATAACTTGTTTTTTAACTTCAGTTGTTGCACCTCCCAGAATCATCTTGAACGATGAAAGTCTGACGCTGTTTGAGGTAAGGACTCACACGTGGGCTCTGATTCTTTCTGGTTTGTGCTCCCCTTAACCCTGCCTCAGGCTTTAGTTACTTTTAAAAGAAGCTGGGTAATGCTGTAGGCTTCTGCTCAGCCAAGGCTAGTGGAACCAGATGTTTTGGAGCACAAGCTGTTCACCAGAAGAGGTCCACCTTGTGCACCAGTAGGCAGAGGCACACTGGGGGCAGGGGTGGGGATTGGCATTGTTTGGTACACAGCTGCAGTTAACCTGGAATGTTATTGTGAGAGCTGAGTTGAGTGTGCTTTATCTGTAGCTGGACTAGGATAGTAACAGATGAGACTCAGTGTGGGCAGGGAACTGTTTTTAATTGCTACAATGGGAGCTAGAGGCCATATTAGACAAAAATCTGAGTTTTTGAAATCACTGTGTGAGAGTCAATGTGCACTGAGGGATACACATTCTCTTTGTGTAGTTTTTCTGTGAAAACACTGAAGTACAGGTTTTCAAATTCAGATTCCTGGAGATTTCTTTGCAAGTGTCAGATAAGGTCTTGATGTCCCTGGCCAGAGACCTTTGGCTGTGTAGATCACACATCTAGAATCATTAGGAATGACTGAGTGATTTTGCCAGTGAATTTGCCCCAAACTCACGCTGTTTAAAATGTTCTGTCAGTCAGAACTGCATGGACCATTCCAGACTGATGCACCAGAGATCCTTCAGAGTAAAGGCTCACGCAGCAGCAGTGAGAATTCTTGTTTGATGCCCCTGCTCTGAGGGAGCAGAAAGGCTGAGGTGGGGAAAGGGATAGAGAAAGGGACTTTTCAGGCAGCATGGTGAATTAGGTAGTGATTAGCATGCCTTGGAAGTTGTTTGCAATGGAGTTTTCCAAGTTCCACAACTTGCTGACTAGGCCATGTGGAAGAAATACACATGCAGATGCTTTTAGATGATTGAATATTCAGACCTGTATCTGCCTCCTGTTGATCCTCAGATGTTGGTTCTGGTCTCCCTTGTTAACTTTGGTTTGTTTTCTAAAATGTTCTAAATCCTCTGCTTACCTCCTTTTACCCCTTGCCTGCCTCCCCTGTCCTGCAGTACTGTTCTTTTCTTTTCTCTTTCTCAGTGCACATCTCGTGTTTCTCTGGATGTCTCCTGAAACATGACTTTTTCAGTAAAACACCACAGGAATAATTACATCTCATTGTCTTTGAAATATAAAACCTAATGGCAGGAATTTTGTTTAATTTACTGCATTAAAGCCTTTGTTCTGTACCTGGCACCATTACTGGTGCTTGTTATACGTGTGGCAATTTCCTGGTTTCCTCGTTGTGACATTTACTGTGAAATTCATTCTTTGTGGCAGCTCCCTGAGACATGAACACATGTTAAATTAGTGCTCTTTGAAGACTTGGAGGTGCCTTACAGCCCAGTCTTAGGGACTTCATTAGAAATCACAGCTTTGTGAAGAAGCTGGTCGATTTTAGTGTCAGACATCTTCAGTCTGCAGTGGCTTTCTGTGGATTGCAGTGCTTGCTGAGGCACATGGCAAAGGTGCAAAACCTTGACTTTGATACAGAGCTGGGACTGCTCAAGATGCTATGCTCAAAAGTGGAAAATTCTTTGCAAATGGACTGCTTTAAGGAAAATATTTTTTCTCATTTCTCATATCCTCTCATGAGGATATCATATCCTCATATCCTCTCATGATGTCACCATGAAAGAAGAATAACATCCAACTAAGATAAAGGGTGTCAAATCCAAAGCTGATTTAAGATATGTTTTTATTCATGCCACATGTAATCACACCATAGTCAAATTAAGCTAGTGGTTATGTTGAGAATTTGGGTGTAATTAAAGTAAAGTGGAGCTTTTAAGCATGATCTTAACTATACAGAGTCTGTACAATTACTTGCCAAATGTGGAAAGCAAGTAAAATCTCATCCTTAGAATATTTTTTAGGGATTATTACATGACATTACTAAAAGATTACTATCACATTAGTTAACAGTTGCATGATTTTGCATTTTTGGCTTATCCGGCTAGCTCTGCATAGATAAATGTGATGAGGTGCAGGGAAAATAATTTGACCTTCATATGCAGCTCGGTGAGCTCTTGTGTTGATCATTATGGCTTTGGAGCAAAGTCTTAAGGTGGTGAAATCATCAGCTCATTACTGAATAGCAGTCAAATTGAAAACCACCTCCTTCCAAAAGCAAAGTATTCAGAACAAAATCGAGAACGTCGCTGTGTATGGACCAGGGTTTGTCTCAATAACATCCAGATCTGGTCTCACATCTCCAAAAGGAACTGGTGAAGGTGCAGAGAAGAGGAATGACATTCATCAGAGACATTCTGCAATGTCTCCTGTCCAAAGAAAGACTGAACAGGTTAGGACTTGCCAGTCTGTTAAAGCTGTGACTGGAAAGGGAATAACATGCCAAGGAGAAGCTGGAATGTGTTGAGTTCTTGAGTATGAGTGAGTGGCACCAAGTGAGGCACGCAGGAGCTAGAAGAGATGGAAGGTAGTTGTTCGTGTGTCAGAAAACTGAGGCACAGAATCCTTTTCACGGGGAGCTGTATACTGAAAGGATATACTGATTTGAGAGAAGTTCGGACAAGTTCAAGGAAGATACTTAGTAAGTGTGTCTTAATATATAGAAACCTTTTCAAGAAGCTTCTAAACTGGAAATCGTTGCTAGCTAATCACTTACAAGCAAGGATACTCTTTTCTGTTCATCTAGTTTTTGTTCACTGTTAGGGTTGTGGCTGGATTGAGTGGACTTCTGCTCTGCCTATGGTTCTTCTGTCCTTGGGAGAGCTGTGTTTAATGCCAGTGGCTGTGTGGCCTGTGTCCCTTGCTGGGGGCCCTTCAGCCCTTTTAGGTCACGGTCTGTTATGGCAGGAATGATTCTGTGTGTTTATAAACATTTTACTTGGATGAAGCATCAAACATGAAAGAAACAATTCCTGATGAGAACTTGTCATGCTTTTCTGATTACCCAAACTGCTGTCAAAGACCACAGAACTCTGACCTGTGAGGATGGTGCGTTATCCCTGTTTGGCCTGGCTGATTGTGGGAGAAGCTTTGCTGTTGTTAACCAATGTAAATCCTTATTCCTCTTAAACTTTCACCACGTTAGTGCAGGCTCCACGCCATAATTTTTCTGCTTGGGTAAGTTTTCCCTTCTGCTGGGGTCTGGGTGCCTGGGAGAAAGGGGCTGAAGGGCCTTTCTGCTCTGTGGAAATGGCTCCAGCTGTGATGTCCATGCCTGCTGTGTCATTGTTTGGTGCCGTGTTTGGAGGTGTCTGTTCCCAGTGACGCTGCACTGCCTGAGCCTTGGGGCTCTCAGTAGAAATAAGAATGAAAGAGGCAATCTCTGGTGCTGGGGTAGGAGGGGCAGCACTGTGGGTGGGACCTGCTCACTCCTTCTCACATGAGGTTGTGGCCTTCCAAACGGAGAAATCTTCAGCCTGGGAAGAGGTTTGTGTGGGCCAAGGGTCCCTAGTGGCTGTGAAACCAAGTGCTGTAGAGCTGGCTGCAGTGCTTGGCTGTGCCTTGGATGGGGGTAGGCTCTGTGCAGGGGGGTTTGTGGAGACCTTTCCCTTTTCATTCATCTTGTGGTCCATGGAAGGGAAACATCTTGTACTTTAGTCAGAGATCCCCTTCTGTTTCCTGATCTGGAAGGAGGGAGGTGAAAGGACAAAGCTGCTCTGTAAAGACAGGAGAGAGATGGTTAAGGTACTTGGAAAAATAATGTGCCTTTGGGGCTGGGGATAGAGGAGCTTTTGCTCTAAGGTGACCTGGCAGCACGCAGCACCCCTGTAGTGAGAAAGCTTGTTCTGGAATAGCAGTGTTGTGGTGCAGATGATGTGACTGTGAATGAAGTGCTGTGGACTATGCAGGTCTTCAGATGTCGTAGGAAAAAGAGAGCTTGGGTAAAGTAACAGTACAGCTAATTGCTTAAGTTTTTTTTAAGTATCTTTGTTGGATTTGGAGGATGGTGTCAGGTTTGGGAAGAAGTTTGTCTTTAGTGGTAATACATCTCTTTAAGGGTTCAGGTTGTATCATGCAACTGCCAAATTTGTCACTTTTGCCCCAAATGCTGCATGTCAGTTGTGGTAGCTGTGCCTCTTGGCACTTGATGTGCTCCCCTTGCAGAAATGCCTGCACATAGCCTCTTGATTTTTCCAAAGAAGGTACTACCATAGTGTGTCTAGCCATTCTGGATTTTTTTCCAACATTTAATTTTCATGTTATCCCATGTCCTAAGTTAGCAGTAGGTTATCCTCCACTCTAAAGACTGTTTTGGTAAGGAAAAATGGATGGTGTCTGAGGCAGTAATGTGAGCATATATGAGCATTCAGATATTTATAAATTACTGAAATTTGTGCTGAAGCCAATAGCAGAAGTGACTGCAGATGGTGGAATACCATATTACCAATACTTCTGCTCTTTCCACCCTCTCCCTCCATTCAAGCTGACAAGTTTGGCACCACATTCATTACATTTGATCACTTACAATGAAGGGAGAACCTTTACGCTGCTAGCAAAACCAGGAAAAAAGACAACTGTTGCGGACTTGTTTGCCAAGATACTTGGAATGAAAGAACTGTCTGAAGTGAATGCTCCCAAAATCTGTGTGTATTTACAGTATAGTGAACACACAAATTGGCAGCAATGTGGAGTTTTTGGAACCCATAAAGACTTCAAGGCTTTGCTTTGATTTTTTGTTGTTGCTGTTTTTGCTGGCGGCCTTCTCCTCATGTCCCTTGAAGTGTTTTATAATGTTCTGCTCTCCAGAGCTGATCAACCACAGGCTTCCCTGTTGTAGCACTTGGCTTTGGGTTCCTTGTAGCTTCAGTGGCTTGTTTGTGTTTTTTCTAGGCTTCCTGAGCTTTTCAGAGTTGCTTCTTAGCTTCTTTCTCCTCCCAGAAACAGGCAGTTTTGTAGTGCATTTCTGGGGTGGGTTAGTGGAAAAAAAATCATCGATTGCTGTGTTAATACTAGGAAAGATTTAGCGGAAAATAGAAGTACCAGTCACTGGAAAAGTCGAGGCAGCAGAGAGGGCAGGAGGCCATCCTTCTCTACAGAGGAGCTGAAGGAATCTACAGGCTTCCACATAAATACTTAGGTCCTCTAGTCAGATCTTAGAGTGCCCTGAGTGTTTCCTTTGTCACATACCATGAGGCAGAAATCCAGATGAGCTGTTTGTTCCTTTCTTTGCCTTTGGTTCTCTTTCCATATCTTATTTGTTAATGCCATTTTGGGCAGTATGTCTGGCATGTTTGTTCAGTGAACCTGACTACGACTTGGGCAGCATGAAGCCTTCTCCTTTGGCAAGAGTCAAATGCAATTTCAGAAAAAATTACTTCATCAGAGTCAGTCCATCAGAGGCATTTCCTGTGGCAGGCCTTGTGGTTATTGCACTCACTGGCAAAGAAAATTGCAATTAATACTGAAATTCATCCAGCACAGAGGATGGCATTCACCTAAAAGTCTTCGTCTTCTCCATCCAGGATTTTATCATCTGACTGCATTCAGTAGCAATCTCACCTCTTTGTGATGAGGTCTGTTACTTATGCTTGTCTCATGATGCTGGCTTCCAGGACAGCTAGGTTCTTCAGTCCAATGAGAGGCTCCTTGCACAACTGAATTTGGAGTCGAAATCCTGCCCAAAATGTTCACTGCTACTGTCGGTTTTGAAGGCCAGATCTTTCTGGTCTCAGCTATCAAGGTGTCAGTGAATGCTCTTTGTACTTGGATGCCTTCATAAGTAGCCTTCTCAAAACAGTGTTTTTAAATCTTATCTTTGCCTTATGAATTTTAAAGGTGCCCTGCCCTAGCTGGATCAGATCTCCTCCATGTTGGCAACAGAACATCCATCTCTTCTGGCAGTTGAAGCCCACATTGGGCAGCTTTGTTCTCAGGTTATAAACTTGAACCGCTTGATCTGCCTCTTTCACCATGGCTGTGGTGTTTATTTCTGTCTCAGCAATGCTGTGCAGTCTTGCTGGAGAAACTTTTGATCCACTGCCTTGCAGTTGAATTTTCCAAGAGCTAGTTTATGTGTTTGGGGCGTGTGTACTATGCAGTATTTCATGCTGGTAGCTTGGGTTTCTCCTTCCATGCGCGTGTTCCTTTGAAGTGCTTATGTTCTTATTCATCTTCCTAACATCAGTCTAACAGCAGACCTGTGGCACTCTGATCTTCTCAGATTGTGTAACGGAAAGAATGCTGCTCCTTCTGGCAGCTGCAAGTTCCCTTCAGCAGCAGCCTCTGCCTGGTCTGGCAGCAGTGCTGTCAGGGAAGAGAGCAGCTTCCCGAGAATAATGTGCATCATCTGCAATGCTCTGTTCTAGGATTTTTTTGCGTATGTATGTCTGAGAAACAGGAAGCATTGAGGTGTTATTTGGGAAGGGTTCTGCCTGCAGTATTTTCTGTGTTTTCTAGAGAACAAGTTACTCAAACATGCAGTTAAACAAAGCAGGAATGTCTCTCTGCTGTATCACAGCTGGATTCACCAGGGACTGTTGTTCTGAAGTGGATATTTTTATCGTGGAATGTGAGATGCAGCAGCCCCATGTGCCACTCCACAGCCAGGCTGCCGTGCCCTCGCAAACCACGCTCCCCACCGCAGTGTCCGAGGAGCTGCTCGCTATCTCTGATTGAAACGGTATCATTTCAGTTGTAGAGTTTCAGACTTAATGGGGCTTTATGAGCAGCAGGTTGGTCTTCAGATCTCTGAAATAGAATGTTTTCATTTAAACTAGTGCAACTGTACCCTAGCAGATGGATGAAGCTGTGTTACATCTTTTTAAAATCTGAGGAGATGGTAATTTAGAATGATACTTATTAAATGAGAAGGATAATAAGCAGGACATTGACTTCCTTTTGTCCTTGCCTCACTGACTTTCTAATCCCTTCAGAAGAAAGCTGTCCTGTGATTATGATCTTGGATGGAGCTCTTGACACTTGCATGTTCTCATTACTGCTGCTGCCATCCTTTGTGACCTTGAGTAAGTTATCTCTTTAGGTCTAAGTTTTTCATCTGTATAAAAAAGAAAAGGCCCCAAAAACAGAAACAAAACCAGGAAACCCAGAAAAATAAAAACAACTCACAAACTCAAAGTATTTTTATTTACATCACATCTATATAATTGCACAATGGGACACCATTTTCGGTTGGATTTCTAGATATTGCTCCAGTAAATCTGAGTGTATGTTGTAAATACATTTTGGACAGTGTGATTTGAACATTATGGTTCAATAGATTAATAGCATCTATTTCCCCAGTCAGAATGGCCATTTTTTTGGCTGGAAATCAAAGCAGCAAGGAAGAGAAATGCTGAGTGTTGGAGTGTAGTAACTGGCTGTTGGCTCAGTCCTATTGTAGTAATTCTCTGCATATAAGTGAGTGGAGCTTTTTGAGTTACTTGTTGCTTTGAATATCCTTTGATTCTTTTGGTCAACCTGGCAGGCTCCTAAGAGTTCTCAAAATCTGTTCTGATTCACAGATGTTCTTGCAAGAACGCTATGCAGTGAAGAGCTGCAGAGTTGTTCTAGAAACATTGTCAGATGCATTAGAACAACTGCAAACATTAGAACAGCTGACTTGAGGATACAGTTTTCAGGTGATCGTCTGCCCAGTGTTTGATCATTACCTTCATAGGTGTGTCAGAGAATGCTGAGGGCTTTGGCTTTGGGCTCGTGTGTTTTTGTGGACAGAATCTACTAAAACCTTCTCATCTTTATGCCCAGACAGTCCTTGGACAATGGGATCATTCGACTGGCCTGCTTTCATTTTTTTGTATGAAAATGCTGCTGATTTAAATACTTCAGATTATAAAAATCTCTGGGACAGCGTTAGGTCCTGCCAGTGTGGCTAGAGAATTCCCAGGTGAGATATAGCTGGCTGCCTTATGTGCTGCACCCTCAGGGAGTGCTGGGATTGGGGTGGTACCTGACAATTCCACACAAAGGAAGCTAGACCAAAGGTTCTGTGCATGAGCCAATAGTCTGTTTGAATTGGAGGAAAAAACCTTATTGGTTGGAGGTTTGGAAAGAGGGGACTCTATGCTGGCTGACCCCTAGAAAAGGATAGGGATGCAGGGAAAGGAGCTATGGGAATGACGTTGCATTCTGTGTGCTGCAGGGCTGCTGTCTAGCTCCTTTAAGTTTCTTTCAATTAAGATTTTGAACTAAAACATTTGAACTGATGTTTTGCCAGCAGTAGGAAATGGTTGTGGACATGGGTTCTGAAACTGTGAGCTATGGTTACTTGACGACCTGTGAGTAAACAGGGTAGAGGTTTATATTGGGGCACAGTCTGTCTATATGTTTGTTTGTTGAGTGAGTCTGTCTAGCTCTTGGTCTGTATTTCTCACTCTCTTTCTCTCTTTGTGCCTCACACAGGCCCTGCCATGAATTTTCTCTGACCCCTTGGGGCCATTCCCACATAAGGCTTTGATGTGTGTGCCCAGAGCTTGATTGACAAGGAAGTTTCAGTGGCAGCAGCAGGGAAACGAAGAGAAAGGGGCAGGGCTTTGAACTAAAGGGCTTTGAGTTCTGAGTTTCTGTGCTTACTTATCTCCTTCAGAATGTTAATTATTTACCAAGATAATTGGTCAGGAGGCAAAAAAAAGAGAGGGGAGGTTATTAAAAAATTCCAACACTAACACACTACAAAAACCTCATTTTCCAACTTGCAGCTGGCATGAAAAGGATGTTGTGTGTAAAAGGGCTTGAGCGTATGTGTGTTGGGGGGGCCTTTTTTTAAGGCACCCATTTCCTAAATAGACGAATGCTGTAGGAACATCAAAGCTCTTTTGAGAGTTTTTTTCTGGGATTTCTAAACCATGTCTGGTACTTTGTAATTAAAAAAGTTTATGGAGAGCTGTCTTTGTGACTGGAGCAGGCAACCTTAGGCCCTGTTGATTGAGGAATGAAATGTTAAAAGACCTAATAAATAATTATTTTGCTAAAATGTCAGTTCAATGATGTGAATTTGCCTGGATGCTTTAGCAGGAGCTGAGTCTTGGAGCAGAGTGATAAATGTCTCCTGTTTCGGCCTAGCGTGATGTTGGCTGTGCTGCATGACACAGTCTCCTGTGGCCTCTGGATTAATGTCAGAAAAATGTGTAATACCATATGCTCATCTGAAGCTTGTAGGCAGGAAGAGAGGTGAAGTTATTTCATTTTTGCCTTCAGTTAATACAATTTTGTTAGTCTCCATATTAGGCAGCAGTCCACAGCCTCCTCTGTGAAGATCAGGGTACTTTTGAGTTCTGGTAATTGCTGTACTGTCCAAGGATGGGGTCCAAGGACCATCATTCCAGTATCCAGCTTGGGTGATGGTGGCAACAGAGGCTCAAGAATACTCCAGAGCAGTCAGTCTGCCCTGCACAGTTCCCAAGTACATATGAGTGATACCAACTGGGGCAGTCACTTGCTTTTATCTGGTTATTTATTTACTTATTGGATCAGTCTGACAAGTTTAGTGTTAGTGTTTTGCCAGGGAAAATGTAGACCATTAATTAACATTTGCTGTCTAGTTTCTGTCTATAGTGGTACTTATCTCTTTTACATCATGATGATTTGGTTTCTTTACCTGTCTTAGTACAAGGTTTTCTAAAAGCTTAACAGAATTGTTTCAGCTAATTATTCTTTATGTGGTATTATACTGGCATATAATGTGTGTAATAAATATGATGGTTGTTTTTTTCAGAATCCTTTCTGGAACAGCTAGTTATGGCATATCATGTTAATCTTCTGCATATCATACCCTTTTAAAAATCTCAGCCTGAGCTTGTCAGTAGTGTCTGTTTTTAGAATGAAATTTAACAACTTTTACTCTCTTGCTCTGTGTTTCTTTTGTGAACACTTGGATTAACACTGGGTGGTGGTATAGTGCTTTATAATGGATCACTGAGGTTTCTTGAAGAGGTAGTGTGGCATTGAGGTCACTGGAGGTGGCAGAGCAACCTCCCTAGGTAGGTCCCTCCTTTATACCTACAGGTGCATTTGTGATTCTTCAATTGAGCAGGGGGTGTGTGAGTCCAGTTTCACAGTTTCTCTGGTGCCCAGAAAAGGACCAAAAGATAATGAAATGACCTGCATTTGACATATGGGGAGAGGTAGAGAGGTAGTCAAGGCTGTTCAGCCTGGAAAAAAAGAAGCTCTATGGGGTCTTGTCAATGTGTGTAGTAGAAGAGACAGAAAACAGCAAGGAGTATGGTCCAGAGTTCTTAGCAGTGCCCTGTAAAAGGACAAGAGGAAATGGACACAAATTACAGGGATTGCCACTGAAATAAAAGGAAAAAAAAACCAACCAAAAAACACCAAACCCACTGGATAGAAAAAAAATGTTTGAATATGGCAATTATTCTGATAAGTAGGAACTAGGAATTCAGGTTGGATTTATAAAAGGAAATACTTAATCCTGGAAAGGTGGTGAAACTGGATAAATTTTAACTATAGACAGGGTGTAATAAAATGATTTAGAATCGCTTTTGGAAGGGCATAGCTGGATTTTTCTTCTCTTGGTGTCAGCCACTCAGATCTTAGAAGAATCTTCATCATATTGATGTTATCTGATCAGCAGTGGAGAATCTTGGTGCAATACAATGGCCTGAGATATGGGGACAGAGGAGAAGAGATGGCAGGGCATTCCTGCAGTGAGCGCTTGCTGTGGAGGTCTCATCACCTGTTTAGTACATCACAAGTTTAAGTTTTCCTGAATTACAGACAGTTAGTGACCTTGGCTTGAACTCCATGAATGTGTCTGTAGCTGTCTAACCTGCCTCTAAAGTTGACAGTGAATGTGAAAGCATCTAGAGGCAGTGATACCTTCTTTTCCCCTTTTGCTGCAGGCCAAACTTTTCCCAACTGCTGTTGTTCATTTTGGATCAGAGGAGCACAGGGGTGAGTGCATTTCCTGTCTCATTCAGCTGACTGTATGGTTCCTGCAGTAGACTGAGGATTGCGTCTGTCAGAGCTCTTCTATCAAAAGAAAATGCAGTCCTTGAGAATGCTGGTGAATGTCTCCATTCTGACTGGCAGAAGCTCTTCAGAGCTGGTTTGGGCAGTTAGCTTGAGCACAGATTGGGCATTGTACCTCTGTTAAAGGATTTGATAGGCTGGGGAGTAGGCATTGTCTGCCATGGGATGAAGAATGATGGAAGAATGACTCCGTAGGAAAGAAAATCCTGTTGTTCAAAATGTTACCCAGACAAATGTCTATGAAGTGCTTTTGCAGAGCTCCTGTGATAGTGGACTGGCTGGAGATGGTAGAACAGATGTGAATCTTAGGTTCTTTGGCATCTCTGGTTTATGCTTAGCATCCCTGTTTCTCCCAGAGACCAAAGTATGCTGTGGCTTCACAGAAAAGTTCCTGAGATGCAGTGAGCACCGAAAGAAAATGTCAAGGTCCTGAGGTTTGAATGATGAAATAGAGCACTTCTGAGTTGTGAAAGAAACTGGCATGGTTCAGTAATGTCCTGTGTCATTTGGAGGAAGGTGATGTAGGTTTACTGTAGTACACAGCAAGTATTTTTTGAGCTGAGAGCTATGTGGTACTGTGGTGATTGATGTATCTGTGTTACCAACTAAGTGATTTGGTTTCATTTCTAAACAGCTTGTTACCTGAAATCGGACCTGCTGAGCTCTGCAGTTTCTCCTTCTGCAGCTGATTTATTAGTAGCCAGGTATGTTGGGGGTGAGTAGAGTTGCAAATGACTTGGTAGTTCAGGAATGGGAAGCATGAAATGAGCCCATCTTACTACAAAGACAAGTGCTTTGAAGATACTAGGACTTCCTTCTGTCCAGAAACAGTTGTACTGTCATACTCAACTTCATAGCTTTGTGAGTCCTTTGCAAAATAGGATTTCAGTGACTTAAGTAAATACTAGTGCTTATATCATGGAAAAAGACGAGCATTTTCAATCTAACTTTAAAGGTGGTGGTGGTGGTGGTACAGGGGGCTATTATGAAAAATGAAGCTTCATTCTACTTGCTTATTTCCTTTCTCTGATGTTTGTCCAGATCATTAGTTCCTTCTGCTTCATCAACTTTAGCATCAGTGGCTCCATCCTTATCTGAACCAGAAGTGGGAAGTGACAAAGAGACCATTGAGCAGCCAGAAGCAGCCAGCACTCAGGGAGCTCCACAAGTGTTTAGAAAGGCCCCTGGGAAAATACCCAAATGGCTGAAGCTTCCAGGTATCAATGAATCATAGGAGAGCTTTGCTCATTCTGAACTGCCCCAAAAGGCAGTCTCCTCTCTGCCAAATAGATTGGATATTTACAGTATTGTTGCAGATGTCAGCCTATGCTTGCAGGACATTTGGTTCACTGCTTGTCAGTCACAAATTTGTTGGTGACTTGAACCTCAGCCTTCACTGGAGAAGTATATGAATGCAGATTCTGAACATTGGGAAGTCTGATACCTAATCCATTGCACCTGAAATAGTTTTCTTTTCCAAGATTATTTGGATAAAGTACAAAATATCATGCCACCTACCTGTGCAGGTTTCCCATTTAACAGTTGTTATGAAAGGTTAATAATGTGCTCTAAGCTGTTTGTTAATAATGTGAAGGATGAAGTTCCCTGCTCCAAAAGCTGTGATGTGTTTGCCATTTCATCTCCCCAAGTGCTCACTTGTGGTCCCCAGTGCTGCCTGAATACAGCAGTGACCAGAACCCTCAGCCACCAGACTGTTTTACTGAGAAATTAGTAAGTGATAATTACATGTTAAGTGTTTTAATGGTGCTGTGTTTGTTTTGTAGGTGGAAAAAGATGAAGCATCCTGGGCTGCTGGATCACTGAGTTGTCAGCTGTGCCCTCCACGAATGTGTAAAAGGTGTTAGTGGCCCTGGAGAGATCTAATCTGTATGAACATTAGTTCTAAAGAGAATTGCTATTTCAGATACCAGTTGCAGCTGGTGGAGGAGTGGAGGGCTCGTTTGTGGTCTTTGTGACCACAGAAGCAAGGTTAGAGGTTAAATTTAAGGTTTCTTGCATGCAAATAATAAGAATAGAGAATTAAGGGGGACATGATTCCTATATACTTTCTGCAAAGGACTTTGTTTCTATCCTTATTTTTAAATTCAAATCCTCTCAGTTCCACCTTCACAGATCACTTGAGTCTAGCCTGTATTCTAGTAGCAAGATACAATCTGGTTCAGCTTTACCTATAATTGTTAAGTGATGCCTAGAACAAGGCTTCTCTCTGCCTCTTAAGCGATTAGGGTTAGTGTTGCTGCTAATTCTGGACATAAGTCGGCTGGAAAATGAATGAAGAGGAAGCACTTAAGTTACTTAAACCAGTTCAGATCAGTGAACTGTCCTGTGAAGAACTCGGGCTGCTGCACTCGTGTTCAGTTGCCAGTCTTGTTAACAAGGAGCACAGGTGTCTCTTCATGGAATGCTTGTTGAGCTTGTTTCTGCCCTAGGCTCTAGTTTTATTTTCACTGTGTATAACTACCATCAGTAATTGTTAAAAGCAAGGGAGAAAACATCCAGTTGAAGGGTCTCTTCAAATGATTGGTGGCCTGAGTGTTCCCAGAGCAGGGCAATGTGCTCTGCACTGCAGTTGGTGCACAAGAAAAAGGCCCAGTCCAGATCTTTGTCTCCTGCAGATGTTGTGGGGGAATGAATATTGGTTAGAATTGCCCTTACACTGGAGAGGAACTCTGTTGTGCCATGGCAGTCGTGGTGCTGGGTTTTGTTTGAAGTCTTCTCCGTGGATCAGTGGTCTGTGGAGAGCTGGGGTTCCATGGTACAGTAATACCATGTTTTCCATTTTCCTTGTTTCCTCCCTGCACTACATGTGCATCTGCACGATTTGTAGATGTAATAAAGTAGAGTGGCCACGGGGGCCCTTTTGGTCAGTACCTTTAATAGCTTCTTGCCCTGGCACTTGGTGTGTCTGTCAGTTCACAGGAACCTGCTCTTTTCCATTGGCCTGTCATGCCTTGTTCCCTTCCTCCTGTTTTTTTTCAACAAAGCAAAACGGAGCTTTGTCCCATCTGAATGAACTTCAAAGTGGCTAGAAAGGGCACCCTGGGTTCCTGGCACTTGTCATTGTCTCCCTGCCTGGCCAACATTTCCCTTCAGGTCTAATTACTTCCAAATGCTCACAGATGCTTTGAAGAAACTTGGAGGGAGGGGGAGGCATGAAAGAAAGGTGGAAGAGGAAGGAGACTCAAAGCAGAAGGAGAGCAGAATGCTTTAGCAAAAAAAATGGATTGATTTCTTATATGACATGAACAGGGAACGTGAGAGCACTGTGTGCAGCTCCTGTACTCAAGTCTCCCTGTGGAAAGCAAGCCCTTCTGCCACTGGATAGGCTATAAAAGACATACCACAGCAAACAAAAAAAAACAGTCAAATAATGTTTAAAGTTTATTACTCTTTTGTGGATTGAGTGTGGGCTGAGCCCATGCTGCACAGGACTGTTGGTCTTGGTTCAGGTACTGTATCAGGCTTATTCACGTCACACAGCTCAGAGGTAGATGGTAGCTAGAGCTGCCTTGCTGAATTTGTACAGGATATCCTGTGGGGAAACCAGGAGCTGTTGCTAATGATAGGTGGTGAAATACTTGTGCTGGTGTTTTGGTTTCCAGGATTAGAATATGCAGAAGCAGTGTGGTTGTGAGGAAGTTGCAGTGTGCTTCAGGTGTGCTAGTCCTTATTTTTTGAAGAGCACAGGTGACATCAAATATTATAATTTGCTTAAGTGATTTTCTTAGCTGCTCTAATTATGTCAGTTTTTGTAAAGGTTAGGACCATAACTATCCCCTGCAAGTACCTGACATGGAAAAACAAGTTTAGGGACACAAGCAGCAATATCAGTATTCCTGGGGCAGTTTCATGGGTTAAGTGTAAGGGCTTTACATTGTTGTGTTCCCTCAGGCAGTTCTGCCCATGCTTGTCCCTTGATGCACTCAGCTGTGCATCAAACCCAGTTTAACCACAAGAATGAAAAATTGCTACCTTCAATAGCTAGACAAGAGGTCATATTCCCCTTTCCTATACAAAGAGTTGCTTTTAGCTGCTGTTACTCAATTGCTGCATTACTGTGGATGCCCGCATCAGCAGTTCTCTTCTCTGTGTGTCAGGGAAGGGAACTTGAGCCTTTTCAGGCCAGCAACTTTGGGACTGCTGTTTCAGTAGGTGTCAGGGTAGAGGCAGAGACAAAGACCTAAATCTGGAAAAGGCAAGGAAGTAGGAGTGAATTCCTTAAGGGAGACGGGGCACCCCCACATTTATAATGCTGAGCTCTTCACTAACTTGCTACAAGGATTCCTGCCCTGATGAAGAGCAGTACCTGCAGATACCTGATGAACTGATTTTGTTTCAGTATCACTTCTGCTATAGTAGCTGAACTCATCCCTGTGGTTTTAGGGCATTCAAAGGTAGTATCACCTGCTGGTTTGTTGGGGGGTTTTTTGTGTGGGGTTTTTTTTTTTTTTTTTTTTGCTATTGCCTTTTTTTTACCAATGCCTGAAGACTGAACTAGGTCAGTTCCTTCATTGCATGTGTTGTACAGCTGAACAGTTGTCTCGGCTGAGGGCTGGGGACTGCTTAAGCTGGTACTGTCCCCAGAATGTGTACTGGAACTGCAGTTTTTGTGAGATTTCCAAGAGGTTGGTGTCCTGAGGGATGACCCTGATAGCTCCTAGCTCAAAGTACACAGTGACCCACTGAGCCTCTGCTGTCACAGCTGTTCCTGAGCAAAGGACTGCTGGCTCTGGCTGCTCCTGCAGCCAGCCCTGCACCTCCCAGCAAAGCCAGTTGGGCTCTGTGGGTCCTGCCCACATGTGTAAGGTTTCTTATTTCACAGTGGCCCCCCCGCTGCCAGAG